GGAGCCGCGCCAGCGGTAACAACTCCTGACAGCCCCAGCCGGATACCTCAGCGGAGCCCGGGCGGTGCGAGCCTCGTTTCCTTGGGAGCTGGGAGAAGGCTGGCTGCTCCTTTCGGCTTCACGGGATTCGTTTCCACGGTAGACAAAAGTGCCTCAAAAAAATAAAAGTGCAAAAGTGGAAGGCGTGCGGAAGAGGGGGCGAGTATATAACAAACTATATTTTGAGTGGGAATGTTGGGGGGTCGTCTTATACGCCGGGTCGTCTTATACGCCGGCATATACGGTACTCCAAATTTAATAAAAACTCAGAAAATCTTCCTTCTCCCTCATCAATTGCATGATTTTTCTTCAATTGAAACTTGTCAAAGATTCTCTATAAATAGAATTTGTTGATGCATAACTTATCCACATCAGAATCATTTCCTCTTTTTACAACTGGTACAAGTTAATACCACCACAGCAAATGGTTAAAATACCCCCTCCCCCATGACTTCAAAGTTCTGCTTCCTAATCATGGGCTTCTCATCCCAGACAATAAGCTTCACTTGTCAAAGCAAATGTGCAGCATTGGAGGCTTTTTTAATGTTACAAAGAGTATTTTGAGGGCTATCTTGAACCTTGAATGTACTGTCCGACCACCAGGCATCATTGTTGCTGCGCTACTGAGGTAGTATAGCAATAGTAACATCTCCATCTCTCTTAAATTTAGTGAGAATCAAGTTAGTAACAAATGTCTTTCCTGTTCCTCCTAGTGCATCAATGAAAATCAAGTGCTTTGCAAGCACTTGCACACTGTCTTATACTGCTCTTTGCTCATTATTCAATAGAGGCTCGTCGTGTAGTATAAATTCCTGCTGTTTGTTTCTGTTTTATTGCAACTCATGCAATAAAACAATAATAATTCCTGATTGACACCATTCTGATTAACTGTACTATTTGTCAGTTTGGCCAAGTTACATTCTTCAAGTTATAGTTGGAAATACAGAAGAACTTGTTCATGATGCCTCTTATTGATCATGATGGTAGGATCATTAATATTTCTCCTCTCAATTTGGAGGAAATCTTCAGACGTTGCACTCCTGAACTGATTCCACATTGTTGTGAATTGTTGATTTTACTGTTTGATAGCAAGATGACAAACAAATCTCTCAAGAGCTCTGGGGATTCTTGTTATTTCAACATGTCGCACAGTTTGTTGCCAATGATAATCAACTAGCAACAATCCCGTCTCTCTCTGCAGACATCTCTGAATAATGGAAGAACATGTCCATTACGAGTCTTTGATGATTTGAGAAACAGTAGCCCCCTTATGTGATGATGAAGCAACCTCAAGCAGTGGTCACCAATTTGTGTACAAACAGTGTACACTCGACCAAGAACATTGGTTACAAAAATTCCAGAGAACTCCTCCAGTCTTTCCCCCACTTTTCTTCTTTCCCATCTCTTATTACTCCAAGTGTAGAACCTTGGAATATCCATATAGTTCAGCATTTTTGCAAATGAATCATGTTTGCAAAGATCCATGAATTCTGTTAATGTGTTTTTTGCCATATCACCATTAAGTACACAGCAATATTATCTCGAAAGAATAGTCAATGCTTTTGTGGAAGGTGCACTTGAAGCCAAACAATAGTCAGTTCCTGTGCATGAATCTGAAATCCAAGTATTGATGCAACAGCTTCAGAGGACCTAATGTATCTGCCTGTCAAATGCTGTGTGATTTTTGTCTTCTCTATTCAATGCAAAAGCTGCCTGATTACTCCTCTTCCTGGTATACTTGATGTTGGATTTGACAGATGAGCACATGAGTATACCATTGAGATGTCAGTTGAACACACTTAATAGTTGTGTATTCTGGAGTACCACCCATTGAGTTTTAGGTCAAGTCTGTCGTCCTGCTTGATGTACTTCAAATCCTCCTATAGATAGGATATGAATCATCACTTGTATGCTGATTAAATGGCTTTTGGTACTGCTTACTGAATGTATCATTCCAAACATCCTGAGTAACTGCTGCAAAATGGACTATGGGTCATGTGCTTTAATAGCAATTTATGCAGCTCTGGATGTTCATTTAGGTCTGGTATTTTGGCTTGCACAAAAGTATCACGGTTGTCTTGGCTTGGATGCTTAATGAAGCTACAGCAAAGAGTGCAGATGAGAGAAACCCTGCTTTTGGTATCCATACTTAGCACATAACCCAACTAAGAGACCATGTGTTCCAGTGTGGTACTTCAGGAACAACTTTGTCTTTAAGCTGAATACTCACAATTAAATTGGGATGAGCATTTGGCTGCTGCTTTTTTAAAAATGCTGTGTAATTCAGGTGAGTTTGAATTGTATGTCACTGTAATGAAAAATGAGGTATTGCATACTTCCGTATATACATCATGGCATCTTGACATCATTTCATCATATATCTTGGTCCTCCAACAAATGTTGGAGAGTCAATGATGCGCCTTCTGATGTTTCTAAAATCATCATCATCATTCAATCAGTCAGACTACTGTATGTTGTTGTTCTCAAGATTGCTTGATTCATTTGGATGTAAGTCAGCCTCATCCTTTCAATCTTAGCAGTCATGTCAACCACGTATTGTTGTAATAGTCATCCTCCTCTTAGAAGGTTATTAAACTCATTCTCATGGTTCATTATTCAATATGCATAGTAATGCATCACCGTTAAGTTTCTTGTTGTTTATCATTTGAAGCTGATGACGCCAGCCATCATCTCAAGAGGAAACAAAAATAGGTATTGAAAGCTGTCAAGGGAGAGATGGGACTCTGGAATTATTTACAAGCCACCTTCTTGTTTTTTCAACATAAATGTATCGGGCAGGATATGTCTCTTCAGAGGGCTATGGAAGGACTGTTCTACCTGATCTCCAGGAGCTAATGGCAGGACTGGTCTCTTTGTGGAGGGCTAGAGTAACACCACTCTCCTGAAGCTCTAGGCAGCAGCTTGGCAGTGCTGGAGTACTGAAGCAGCTACAAACCTGCCAAATTTCAATCCCATGGAAATCATAATGCTAATGCTTCCTGACATAATGTCATTATTTTATTCATCTTAACTTTGTTGTACTCCTATAACATTTTTGTACTACAGGCATAATTCCATAGGGTAGGCAAAAATGTCATGGAAAATGTAATAGAAATAGCAGCAAAGTTCTCTCTCTTTTTTGAAAAGAGAGCTATACATTTGGGAAGAAAATGTGTCCTTCACATCACTAGTAAATGGATTACCCTGAGTTTAATGGTAATAAGAAGCAATTGAAAAATGCAAGAAGATGGATAAGAACTAAAGTGGCTGATGTCAACTTTAAACTGAACCTGGCAGAAACCATTTTGTTGGTTCTCAGTTGCCACACAGTATGGGAGTGGGCAAGGAAGCTGGAATGCACTGCCAGACACAACACTGCTCTATCTTGTGGGAACCAAGGTCACCTCCACAGGTGTCGGATGGAAAGGGAGCCCGCCAATGAACCTAATTGGACAATTTGACCTGTGACACTTGTGGTGGATCATTTACTGTTTTAACTATGCTGAAACCATGGGAAATATTCAGAGTCGGTTTTACATTTAATCATGCCAATATGATGTGCTCAATAAAGAAGTTCTTTGAGAGAGATCTGAGTCTCGGAGTTCTAATTTGCTTGGGCTTGTTAGTCGGAACCTTGACACTTGACTGACACCAGAAAGACCCACTTTCTACTTTCTACTCCATCTGCAGCCACAGCAGCTCACTTGGCGA